ACATTTCGGTAACGCGGCTCTGGGTATCGCCGGCTCTGGGTAAACATTTGGGGTAACGCGGTTCTGAGCCATCGCCGCGTCTCCGTCGTCGTGTCCGTCGCGTCGTCGTCGCCGCATCGTCGTCTCCTCGCCGCGTCGTCGTCGTCGCTTCACCGTGTGTCGTCGAGGGGGCAATGACCTGTGAGGGTACCCTAAGTGAGGGCACACCCGGCAGTTGCCCGTTCTCCGCCCTCGTCGCCTCCCCGTCGCTGAGCCGTCGCAGCCCGCCGCCGACTCGCGGCTCGGCCACCCGTCGCCTTAAGCCAATCGGTCGTCGCTAAGTTGTTTGTTTCCTCCCCACCACCAGAGATTGTCCTTTGGCGACTGTGAGGTAGTCGTCCGTGGGCCGGGCCCTGTTCACAACGGTGCATCACCTAGGGCTCGGGTGTCCTGGACGCGTGTGGCGCTGTCACGAGGCCCGTGGCTGTGCTCTGGCGTTCCGTGTCCACCCGCAGCCTCGAGGCCAACGAGCGCGCCTCCGACGAGGCGAAGGTGCCACGACTCTGGTGCCCTGGCGGTCTCCTCGGAACCTGGAGCAGTGTTTGCAGGAGCTTCACAATCGCCACGAGTGGCAATGAGGGACGCAAGACATGTTAGGTGGGACGTTGCTCAGGAGATTCCTGCAGGAATTCCGAAACCGGCACTGCCCCGAGCTCTGCAAGCAGCGGAGCTGATGTTCCAATGCTGTGATGCGCTCAAGAAGGCTCGGGAGCGGCTTCCTCAGCTGCGAAACTAGCGCTGGGCGTAGCCGGATACCAGCGCGGTCGTTGCGGCCAGGAGGGCATCGCGTCCTGGGCGGCAAGCTGCAGCCTTCATTTTCAAAGCTCGTTGACGTGAGTTCCGTGGACGAGTTGCAAGACCAGACCGTGGATTTGGCAGTGGGTTTGCCGTGCAAGTGCAACTTATAGCCTAGTTTCTTTGTTTTTTTCTTCCATTATTTCGGCGGGATTTTTTGTATCCGCTGCAAATATTGCCAGGCAGCCGCTTTTTTGATCTGACTATAGTTGGGCTAAAGATTGACCATGGCTACTTTGGGGGCTTTGCGCTTGATGGTTGTTTGCTTGTTCCGCAGCCGTTTCATGTTGAGCTCCGCGAGCGCCCCTTCGACAAGGCCTGCGGTTTCAATGTGGCTATCGTGTTGGTGGAGTGTAGCTTGGCACGGTAGGCTTACGTGTAAGCGCTTTTCGGGGCCTTGTGCGGCGCTCTCGCCGTTCCTGGAAGAGGCGGCAGCTCTTTGCATGTACTATTCCTAGATATCGCAGTGCCCAAACTGCCTTGTACCCGTCAGAGCCAGCTGGCGTGCGTTCCGGTGTGTTGTCGGCACTGGAATCACTGTGGCTAGACTTGGTGTTGGTGTTCAGCAGACACGGAATGGTCCAAGTTGCCCAGAAGCTACGTAGCGATGCGTGCTCGCCTCCCAGCAGTGATGGATCGCATCGGCCCTGCTGGCAAGACACTGGCCACGGGGCTTGGAGTCGGCGGGATTTCTAAGCTGGCGGTGGATGGACACGATATGTGGCAGGCGCGCATAAAGCGCCAGCAAGAAGCAGGCGATTGCGATCGTGTGAAAGCGCGCGTGATCCACAGCGCCTTCCACGCTGCCAAGCCCGAAGTGGAGATCCCGCGCAAGCACGTCCAGGCCCGGCATCATGCGTAAGTCCTCGTGTGCTTTGTTTTTTCATGCTACATGGTTGTGCTAGGCCCAGATCAGCAGGTTGCTGGACCTGGATGATCGCTCCCCCGTGTTGATCTGGGGCAACCACCAGTCCGGCAAGAGCTTCGCCTTGTTCAAGGCATGCCGAGACGCAGGCTTTCACGAGGGCATCGTCCACGTGAAGCTCGACAGCGACAAGGAGACCGCAGGAGAAAGGCTGCGCCAGCAGCTGGGTGCCCCCGGCCACGTTGAGGTGGAGGAGGCCTTGAAGCAGGCGGCAAAGACGCTGGGCCGCCTGCCCATCGTCATTTTAGAATTCCTGCGGAGTTGGCTTTTGCCTCCATGGCGCTGGGCTACGACGCAGACGCTCGGGAAGTTCGCCTCCAGATCGGACCGCTGAGTGAGGAAGAGTGCCAGCAGGAGAAGGCGGGGGCCTTTTGCCGAGCGCGTTCCTTTGCTTGGCATGCTCCCTGACCAGGTCCAGGAACTCCCGCGGCTGTCGAGCACAAAGCTGACCTTTTGCAGCTCACCGGCGGCAACGTAGGGAAGTTGGAGGCCCTCGGAGATAAGCGCAGTGTGTGCACTTTGCGAAGCCTTTGCAGCCTCGCAGGAGCTTGCCAAGAACCTGAAGGTCCAGACCTTCCAGCAGGACGGGTTCGACTTGCGCCTTTGTTTTGTGCAGTGTTTGTTGCCATGTGCCAGGAGCAGCAGATCCTGGGCTTCCTCGGCATCGATGCGCATGGCGGATTTGACGGAACCAAGGCTGCCAAGGAGGTGGCCCGCCGTGTGGCGGAGGCCCCGTTTCACCAGTGCGTGATGTCCAAGGACTTCAGGGCACGTTTCACCAGCAAGGACCTAGCACAGGCGGTGAAGGCACGAGATGCCCACTGCATCTATGTCAAGGCCACCACTAAGGCGGATGAGCGGTTTTGCGCAGCGTCGCCGTCGGTGCACGCTCTTCTCAAGCGGAAGACCAGATGGTTGGGAATCTTCTGATGTAGTTGAAACCGTCAGGAAGCATTGAGAAGCCCAGACTGGGGGATTGCGGTTTTGATAGAAAGTTGAAGCAGCAGACCTAGCATTCCACCAGAGGGCGGACGTGCAGCCTGCCAACAGCGCAGGGCCAGGACTAAGTTGAGACAACCTAGCGAGCATTAGAGTGTGAGGGAAAAAAGGGCGAACTGCCAGTCTTCCCAACGTACTTGTTCAGTCGATGTTGACTTCGCGCAGGCGGCGGGTTCAAAGTGCGGACCTCTGAGTGAAGAGCAAGTGTCCCGGTGAGAGTTGTATGTCTATAAGGTAGCGCATTAGGTGTGTTGTTTGCCGCATGTTGGGAGCTGCTTGAGCGTTCGCCTCCTTGAAGCAAAGAACCCTTTCGCCTTTCAGGGTGCTCATCTGCGTCTCCAACGGCGTCAGAACCTTGGAGCTCGTCAGCTTTGGAATCTTGGTAGAAGGACTGGGTGGTTGAGTTTGGGGCTAAACTGTCCTTGTAACGTAAAGCCTGTTTCCAAAAGGGTTCTCAGACCAGTGTCGGCCTGCATGTTTTTTGGGTGTGGGCGTCAGCTTGTTATGCGCTGCTGTGCAACCCCGATCTCAGGTCCGCTTCTTCGCCATCCTCAACAGGCTCCGCTTTGAAGTTTTGAGGAGTTGGATCTGCAGGAACGCAGGATAGGGTGAGGATAGAGGTGGAGGTAGAGGTAGAGGGAGCGGCGACGACGACACAGTGGGGGGGAACGAGGAAGGCGCTGGGACGATGCGGCAGCGAGGTGAGGAGAAATAGAGGTATAAGGGAGCAGCGACGACGACGCAGCGGGGGGGACGCGGGGCGGTGAGCGGCGGGCGGTGAGCGGGTAAGATGCTGGGTAAGCGACGACGGCGCGAAGACGATGCGGCGACGGCTCGGCGCTGCGGCGACGACGCGGCGGCTCGGTGCGGCCAGACCGGGGTGTTGCTGGGGGGTCCTAGGCCTCCATTCCGACGGCGACCGATCGGAGGCGGGGATGCATGATGGCGGCGACGGCGGGCGAGCGCGCCACGGATGAGCGAGCGACGACCGAGCGCAGAGCCGAGTCACCCAAAATGTTAGCCCTACTTGGATGGGCCGGGTGGTTG